GAAACTGTCCAACTTGAGGGAGCCAGGCAGGCCCTGAGTGCAGCCCATGGGCATGGAGGGGTAGGGGCTTCTGTAGAGGGCTGTTCTTGGTTAGGACAAGTTGGAGTCAGTCAGGGACTATGGAAAAGAGAGAAGGACCAGCGTGTGCAAAGGCAAAGGGGCCTGAGGGACCAATGGAGCTCGGAAGGTATGTACAGTGGGACCGGGGCCTTGGGGGAGGGCTGGGGACCAGGCATTGGGAGGGGCTGTCGCTCATTCAGAAGGAACCCCAAGACTGGGCGTGAGTCTCCTCACTCTGCCTGTGCTAACCTCCTCCTCCACCCACCCCAGGCCAGATTGTGGACACAGTGGTGCAGGAGCAGAGCCCCTCCATTCTGCTGGAGCTGGGGGCCTACTGCGGTTACTCGGCCATACGGATGGCCCGCCTGATGCCACCCAGTGCTCGCCTGCTCACCATCGAGATCAATCCCGCCTACGCCGCCATCACTCAGCAGATGGTGGACTTCGCAGGCCTGCAGGACAAGGTGCAGCACCTTCCCTGATGACAGATATAGACACTGAGGCTCCAGTGGGAGGGTGGGAGGGAGGGCCCAGGGCATGCTCCATGTAGTTCAAGGCCACATGCACCGTGCTGTAGCCAGGCCCACAGTACCTCCTGGGCCAGATTTCACAGCAGCTCTGTGAGGGCGGTCTTGCTGCCCTTTTTCACAGAGCAGGAAATTCCCAAGGCTGTCCCCAGAACCCCAAAGAAGCTGTCGATGGACGCTCGCCTGGGAGTCCAGGCAGGGTAGTCTCTGACCCCCATGGGCATAGGCACTGATGGGGAGCACTGTTCCAGGTAACCATTGTCGTCGGAGCATCCCAGGACATCATCCCTCAGCTGAAAAAGAAATACGATGTGGATACACTAGACATGGTCTTCCTTGACCACTGGAAGGACCGGTACCTGCCAGACACACTCCTCCTAGAGGTGAGTTGCACAGCTGCCTGTCTGGGATGGGCTGGCTGCTGCTGCCGTGGCTGCCCTGTTGATGGGCCTCAGGCTCTCTGAAGAGTCAGGGGCCCTGGGGGCCACAGGTGGCTCATGTTGCCCTGCCTGTGCCAGGGTGGCAGGGTGGGGTGAACCCATGGACCAGATGGTTTGATCTGAAAGGGCACAGGCAGAGGAGGCAGAACAGAAGCAGCCAGACAGCCGTGCCAGCTGTCCCAGCTGTACGGCTGGTGCTGGCTGGGGAAATCAGCATCAATCCTGCACTTCTTCCTCCCGAGTCTCGTTGTTGTACATCCTCCTGTGCTCCCGTCCCCCAATCCCAGCCCCAAACTGTGCCAGCCCTCAGTGCCAATTGCTCAATCGGCACCACGTGGTGACCAGTGGGGCAGCCTTGTCCCCAGGAGGGTGGAGCTTGGGGTCTTTAGTGAGCTGACGTGTGGAACTTAATACTGATAACTATTGCCTTGTCCCTTCTGGGTGGTCAAGGGGACACTTAGCAGCTCCTTTGCTGTCACAGAGCGCTTGGGACGCTTGGTCCTGCCCCGGCATCTCAGCTTACATTGTCCATCCCGTGCTCATCCACTTCACCTCCCCCATGGGCCAGACACTGCCCAGTGCAAGGGGGCCTTGAGCACAGAGAGCGTGGCCGCTGGAGCCTTGTCTGGAGGCCAGGCAGCACCTCGAACCCAGTGGTTCTGGTGTGAGTGGAGGGCCAGGTGCCTGGACACGGTGGGAAGGAAACAGCACTGGCCTGGCGGGCATGAAAGGGCACGAGGGCACGAATGTTCTCGGAGGGGACAGATTTGGGGCAGTGAACAGGGGCTGTGTGTGGAGGGCCTCAAATGCCACGTAGGCAGGGTCACAGGGCTCTAGCACGTGAGGAAGGAGTCAGACCTGTCTTCAGGAAAGATCCCTGTTGGGCGTGTGGAGAGTGGGAAGGGATGGCTGTGGGAAGGGTGCCCGGAGCTTCTGGGAGGCGCCAAGCACTGGGAGTGGACAGGGAGGGGATCTGGAGACGAGAAGTTGGACCAGTCACCTGCTTTGGCTGAGACAAGAGGTCAGTGGTGGAATTACGAGGAGACCCATAGGCCAGGAATGGGGCAGCTGTGGAGTATG